GTGCAATCTCTTAATTCACTGCCTTCCCAAATCTGATGAACGGGCGATGATTTTTCGGCGCTGTATTCGTCATAGCCGTCTAAAATAAGTAGGACTTTTTGTTGGTTACGACGAATGTAATCATACAACTGCCCAAAAACCACAGAGTCGTCAGCAGACAATAGTTTGGCCTTTTTTAGCACAGCACAGAAGTCTTTCGTGTTGCAAACATCTCGAAGCTTGATTAAAAGTACAACAGTAAACTTCTTTAGGTTTTCTTTATTATCTCGTGACCAGTCAACGGCGAGTTTCTTTGTCAATGTCGACTTTCCTATTCCTGGCCTCCCATACACTAAAATTCTCTTAGGAATTATATGACGACCATGGCTTGCGAATAGCTCACTGTAATCTTGAAGCCTTTCTTTTGTTGTTCCAGCAAGTTTTCTGTCATCTCTTAGCAGTGTTAACTGTACATACACCTCATCAATGTCCATGGTATTATCTCGGTCCCAAGGAGTAATCATTAATTGGCTCGCGGTACTGTTGTAAAATGAGCAAAGCTGATTCTGACTCCACTCCAAAAAAGCAGTTACAGCATCTGTTTATAAAGAAAGTAAATCTCGTAAAACTTAAATCCTTTCTAACGCATTGAGCAGTAGGAAGTTAATTGTACAAGTTTTGTGGTAGCAATGATAATGGTAGTTTATCTATTACTGTTATTTACATCAAAGCGTGGATATTCTCTCTTAAGGAATAAAAATAAAACCTGATCTCATGTTAACACTGGAGCAAGACCGGTGCTGATTTTCGATGCATTAAGCTTACGATTACCAAGTTTCACATCAGCGGTTTTCTGAACAACCTTCGGTTGCGAGGACCGATTGAAGAATTTTGGGGATACAGATTTCAAAAGTTTTATACTGCAATTATTTCACATTCAGCCTGTTTGCAAACATTTGTCTGTTTGTTTCGGCGAAAGTTGTTCTTTACTTTTTTTCCGACCATTCGACAGTGCGTGAGAGAGAGAGCGCGAAGCTGAAGCGCGAGAACAAAAGGAAGTGAAAAGGAGTCTATTTTCTGTTTTTCTGACCCGTACCCATGGGTTTCGTTTCAGGCCGGACGCCAGACTCAACGTCCGATTGTTTGACATGTGACGTCCGGTAATTATCACACGAAATAATTTTTTTAACCGTAAAACTTTTTCTTTTCTTCTTTTTTACCGATTAACCACTTCCGGTCCAGGGAAAGAAGGAAATTGCATTTAGAGAGTCCAATTTTAAAAATTTATTGGAGCCGAACATGTCTTCGGATCCCCCTCAAAGATCGTACCTCCGGCACTCAACCTTCGCGCCTGCGGAACGAACAGTGCAAGTCCGCCAGCTAAACCTCTGCATCCAAAACTTCCAAATGCTATCTAAAAGTCTGCTTACCCCCTTGCGCTTGCGGGCAATAAATCTCCTGCGGTTTTTATTTCTTTTACGCGCGCTGGACGATCTCTTACGGTAATTCCCTGGTTGTTAAAACTGTCCATTTCTCTCTTCTTTTCAAGATCGGGTTACTTTAGGTCACTTCACTTCTGGAGAAATATAGCCCAGACAAACAAACTGGCTTAAGTTTTTAGTGAATAAAAACTTAAGTTTTCGCAATATTTCCGCGCAAGTAGAAAAAAAAAAAAAAAAGGATAACAGGTACACAGGCCGAAAACAAGCACAATCACCCCATCTTTTTATTGCAGTTTTTGAATGCCCTATATATGACTGACATGTGTGTCAAGTTTCAAAAAATCTTAACCTGCGAACGGAAGACGTTTCTCATCGCTCATCGCCGCTGAGGGACTTTTCGAAACGGTCCTCAGCGGCGATGAGTGAGGAGAAACGTCTGCCGTTCACAGGCTAAAAAAATCTGGATAGTACATCATTTTCAAGGGAATTACTTTAAGAGAAAATAGAGGGTCTGTGAACAGGCTATTTTACATTGCATGTGCTGGCTTCCCCTTCCAAATTAGTTTTAAAAGATCAGTCATAAATGATATTTTTGACACGTTCATTGACGTTACATCTGACTGTAAAAGCTACATTGTTGTTGTTGTTTTTGTTGTTTTGTTACGTGATCTGGTGTTCAGAATCTAAACGGGTGCCTGGGGAGGACCTAAGGCCCGGTTCAGACGTAGACTACGAGTAGTCCCCCATTTTTTCTCACGGATAGTAGAGGAAGCGAAACGCGAGCGCGCGTGAAAATCACCCCACACGAGAAAAGGCGACACGCGGCGGGGAGTTCTCGCGTGGGATGATTTTCATGCGCGCTCGCGTTTCGCTCGCTCTACTATCCCTGAGGAAAAATGGGGGACTACTCGTAGTCTAAACTTCCGGTGAGCAATATTTGAAATAATCGCCTCCCTCGAATAATCGCCCCCCTTTGGTGTGAAAAAGAAATAATCCCTCCGGCTATTATTCGAGGAAATACGGTACGTTATTTATAATAGTTTATGCATTAGGTTCGTTACATGAAAAGTTCGGCGTCTGAATCAAAGGCATTTCAAAGTCGCTCCAAAGGCGAAATTTCCGGATGTGCTAAGAGAAAATAACGGCTGAGCTGTTCCAAATTGAAATAGAGACGCCGAACTTCTCATGTACTTAATTCTGTGTATTAGGTTAAGCTAATGAAATGTTCGGCGTCTAGACCGGGCCTTATTCGTTTTACAAATAAGCTAAGGGAAGGATCAGGTAATTAATCAAGTCAACTTAACAGAGACAAGGCCCTGTCCACTCGAATTCGGATATTTATGAAACCGTATATTTTTGGGGGGCCTTTTGTCAACACTTAACCAGTGAATCAGCTCATTCATCCGCGTCCTATTGGTATAAAAAAATCGGAGGGCGTAATTTGCAGGTTGCAGGTCAGAATTTGAAGCACGCGCGAAAGGTCAACGCTAAAGTGATTTTGAGCAAAAAAAACTTTCTTTACAGCGTCACGCAGACCGGACACCGCCAACATTCACACCCTGTTTAATGGTTCGGGTCTAATAAGAAACCCTGTTCAAGACACTAAATTGCGAATTTGTATACCCTGTTTAAGACTCAAGACCTTGAAAACCATACCCTGTTCAGCGGCACATACCCATATAGGCCAAATAAGGGAGTGCCTCACTCCCCCCCTCCCCCGGGTTGGAATCTACACCGTGGTCGAGCACATGGAGAGGGTAGTGGAGTAGCCTGCGTGGCAGGCGTTAAAAGGGGAAGGGGAAGGGGGAATTTGGGCGCGCGCCCTAATTCCCTTCCCCTTCCCTTTCGAACGCCTGCCACGCAGGCTAGTAGTGGAGAATTTCAACAGCCGTTAAGTGGTAAAAAAAAATTGAATTAAGTGGTAGAAAATATTGATGTTATTGCCGATCTTGCGATGGATTACATCCGACCGGCCCTCAATGTGTGCGTTGCTCTCTCTAGGTACGTTCTTTTTATTTTGTTCCTTTGAAAGTGTACTGGTTTGGAAGTATTATAAGCGTGACACTTCCGGCGCGACCTTGTGTCACATATCAAATTCTAACGCCGTGGTTATCCGGCACGTGGAAATTTCCACATCCGGTTTTTTTTTACCATTCGTTGTTATTTTTAAAAGTGTGAAGCTGAAAAATTTTGATCTATAGGGCTCTGGCTGCAAAATCTAACTCCCAAAAAACAATTTCCTGGGACTACAGATATTTCCGGTTTGCGTGATGTTGTAAAGACAGTTTTTTTTTTACAAAATCAGTTTAGCGTTGACCGTTCGCGCGTACTTCAAATTCTGACCTGCAACCTGCAACCTGCAAATTACACCCTCCGTAAAAAAATGCGGTTTCAAACATGGGGTTTCTACCACAGCGGACCGCTGAGGGATCAGTTTCTTCCTCTCACAATACCAACAATGACAACAATGCTTTGGATCGAAACCTACCAACCATGAGCGAGGTTTGTGATACACCAATCACTAACAATCAAGTCATCAAGGTGGTACAAATAGTCCGACTCAGTAAATCGACACTATCGCCTGATGAAGACCTGCAGTGTGCGGTCGAAACGTCGTGATCAATATCAAAGTGACAATCGTGAGATAATCGATAAAACTAAACCCTTTATACACATTATCCACGATGATTAATATCTTTCATGACATATGCGGATTCGTGTGCACAGGGGCTATAAATTGGTACCTGAGGGACTTGGTAACTGTTCCTTTGATCTGCTGGCAGAGCCCTGCTCTGATATATCTGCAACAAAGAGAAATCTCTCACTTACATTTAACAGGGGCACCCAACGACAATTTTCGGAAAAATATCTGTTCGGAAGACGATTTGAGATCTAGAATTTTCGGAACATTTGTTGTAAAATTTCTTGCTTGCCTGCCTCTCCTAGATTTTCGGATTTTCGGACATCTTAAAAATGGTATAATTGCCTATTTTTAACGGATTTTTACCCTAAAAAGGTCACCTAGAATTTTCGGGAGCCTTTTTTCTGGCTAAAATTTTCGAAAAGGTAAGTTTTGATCCCTATAATTTTCGGATCACTTGACTTTCAGCTAGGAAATCCGAACAGATGAAAAATTTTTAGGGGATAAAAATATGCCTATATCTACCGTTTAAATACTAAAATACGTTCAACAATTCTATTTTTAAGTGGTTTTGAACTATATTCTCGTTGGGTGCCCCTGATTTAAGAAAAAAGCCATGTACAGTGTACTTAAAAACAGAAACAGTGGAACCCGGATTAATAAGGACACGAAAAGGACATGCCACAGTGTACATATTATCCAGGTGTCCGTATTGAGCGGGTAGTTAGGAAAAAAACGTCAAAACACATGCTTATCGATATAAAGACTAAAGCAGACGTTTTAAAGAGAACGTTGTCTAATTTCTCAACTGTAACATTAACAAGTTCATCCTGAAGAAAACTCCCGAACATTCCCCATAATGGTCTCTCTCTGTAATTACCTTGAAAATTACCTTGTTCTTGAAACACGGCAGTGGAATGATTGGAATACGCAACTTTACTTTTTGTACTGACGGGGTTTAGTTTGCTACTCGGCCAGGTGGACTGTGTATTAGACAGAACCCTTGAAAGGTCGTATGCTTTTTCTGTTAGGTTTTCACTGCTAAGATATTCAGTCATAGGCAGCGCGCAGGTAACCAGTGTCCGTAAAACGAGGTTGACGATAATGTATTAGAGTTTGTGACTCAGGACAGAGAAAAGTGTCTGTTGTCTGTATTAACCGGTGTTTGTGACACACACCCCATACTGTCATGTAGTGTTAAGCTCATCGTGGCATCAAGGAAGTAACCCACCCTAGATTCCATAAAACAACATGCCTAAAAGGGACATAACTTAAAGAGAAATGTTACTGACCTTGATAATGTGGCCATGAATGAAAAACACAGGGCTCACTCAAAATGTGTGCAACAAGAGATGCTGCCATCACACTGGCACAGGAAGACCAACTCTCTGAAGCCAACTGAGACCCATCTGCATAATCAGCTATTCCTTTCACAATTAACCACTCAATTTGACAGTCAAATGCTGCTGCAAACACTCCTGTAAAAATAAAATAATGGCATATACTGTTAATAAACAGTTGTATTTCAGACGTCAAACATTGAAGATCCCCATAGTGGGGGTTCATTGGGCTGCCGACTGCACATTTTTTAGCCAGGGCTCTATAGTAACTTTTACCATTATGAATACAAATTGGCAAGTTAGCTTTTTGAAGTAAGAAACACTTGGCATTACTTGTAACTTGGACATTTCTACCACGCACCCCGCTCCCCCTAATCACTCTGTACCCCAAAATCGATACCATGACAGCTTATTGTCATTCTATGCATGTAAAACGTGACAGGGTCAGTTTAAATGTGATGCAGTGGTTTATTATCCATTTAGGAAGTATAGATTATAATAAAAAAATTGCAATTGTCACCTGAGCTTTAGTGCATAGCTATTCCTAACCTAGAGACACATGTAGCCTTTTGAAGCAAGAGATGATTGGGATTGGACATTAACTCACCCTCATCCCTCTTTTTCCAAAAATATAGCATGAAAGTACTAACCTGACTAATCTGATCTAACTGGAAATTCCAAAAATTAATGTCTTTCTTTCTACGCTTATAAAATGTGACAGGGCCTATTTTTATGTTTTAAATACCTTTTTCAACAGTCTGGCTTAATTAATATAGAGGATATTACATGGCCAGGCGGGGATACAAATTTTATCTTCCAGTGCTGAGATTATCTCTCACTTGTTCGCTTCGCTCACTCGTGAGAGATACTTTCAGCACTCGAAGATAAAATTTGTATCCCTGCGTGGCCATGTAATGTTCTGTTTATTTTACAGATACTGATGAAATTCCTACATAAAACACAACTTTTTTTATTCATTTTCGAAACAGCAAAATAGTACAATTAAAGTGGTCACCTATCCCAAAATGCCTGTCCCAAAAATGTTATGAAACTCGGATATAAAGTTATAAAGGAGAAATAAAGACAATAATACTTATATTTCAAAATTTCACAAGAACCGGCCTCACGCCTGAGCGGGAAGCTCTCTTGTAATTGTCTAATCATGTTAGTGTCCATGGCGACACCAATATCCTCACATGTGAAAGATAAAAATAGCATCTTCACTGCATGCGATGAAGATATGATTTTTTAGTAAAAGGAAAAATCCTGGTATTTTATCAGTATCTATATAATAAAATTAATTATTATATTATGTTTCCTAAAAATTGCAAAGCAAATTAAGTTTCAGTTTTATTTCTGTTGGATATTGCATTTAACCCAATCTACAAATAGCAAAATCCTTTTTTAATTGTAAGGAAAGACTTTTCACACGCAGGGAGAGAATTGCAACAAGTGAACGCTTTTCCCATGGGGACCATGGGAGGGCATTTTTTCTGCAGCTCTCGTACAGGCTAACAACATTTATTGAATCCTGTGTTTAGATAATCATTCGGTGTAGATATAAGCCAATAACTTTCTGCAATAATTTTGTGTTTGTTCAAATTGACTTCCAAATCTGTTTGCCAGATAACCTAAAATGACCTGTCCCCTTGCTGCAAAAATTGGACCCAATGAAGGAGGAATAGGCTATGCAAAGCCTTCTGGGAGTTCCGTCCACCATTTTTTCTTTGTGCTGCAGAGTCAAGGTGGCCTCCATTTTTTGATTGGGTATTGCCCTCACAAACCAATAACAACATACATCTGCAGATATTGGGCCAATAACTGCACTCAATAATTGACTTTTGTGTTCATTCCAAATCAACTTCCAAATCTGTTGGCTGGATGACCCAATTTGATTTACTTATTCTTTGTTTTCTTAATAATTCTATTATTATTATTATTTTTATTGTAAAGTGCTAATGAACTTTATGGAATAGGCCATTTTCACGATGACGATGTTTGACTACAACTACCAGAATTCATTTTGTCTTTGCTTTCTTATTTAAATTTGTCAATTCCACTGAGGTTTAAAGAACAATAGCCTTAATTTGCACAAGAAAACAGAAAACTGAAGGATTCTGGTAGTTGTAGTAAAATGACAACATCGTGCAATTGTCCTATTAGCACTACATTGTATATAGGTGTTACTTATTATTATTATTATAATAATAATATAAGATATACTAGTGTAATTACGACTGATTTCTCTCTCAACATCCAAGTCCAAACCATGGACTGTGGGAGGCAAAGAGGGTTTCTACTTGATGGAGAGGACCCACCTGAGGAGGTGGGCTGTAGAAACAAGAGTTATTTTCTGGAGTTCATGACTTTATGTTGATGTTGCCAGGGATTTTGCTATTATCATTATTATTATTATTATTATTATTATTATTATTATTATTATTATTATTATTACTACTACTACTATTATTATTATTATTAAATGAACCATCCCCTCCCCACATCTTTTTTTTGACATACAGCTGTAGAAAGAATGTTGCTTCTCATTTCCATTTTTTTCAGGTTTGTTAGTATCCAACGAAAACAAAACAAACACACAAAAAGGCACATACTAATAAAGACTGACAGTTTAAATAAGTAGTCAACTCACCTTCTCCTTCATTTTCTATTGCCATTGCCTGAGGATTGGTTTCAGCAAGTTGATCACGCCGCCACTCAGCTCTGACTTGTTCCGGCCCACTCAGAACCTCAGCATCAGTATAAACTTGAACCTGCTGAGCTTCAGGGTTCTTCAACGGTGCTTGCCAGCCATCAGCGCAATTCTTAATGACATCTAGGAAGCGTTTGCTCACATAACTTCTCATACCAGTAGACTGCTCTTGATTGCTGGTCACTACCTTTGATGCATAAGTTGCTAATTTGGCAGATACAACAACATCTCCTAACTTGGATTTTGCAGGGTTGAGGCCACTACATGTTCCTACTGAAACGACTGCTTTGGGACGTAGCACAGAGGTAGCATTCTTTACAGATACAAGAGCACCACCAGGACCAATACCATTTCTGTAACATCTTAATAAAGCAACTTTCACCTCCGCATCAGAAAAGTAGACATAGCCAAGACCATCAAACCAACATTTATAGGGGTTTTTTAACTCACTGTAACAAGCCAAGAACTCACAGTTTGTAACTGTAAGTAACAAAATATCAACAGGCAGATTAGCGTCTTTTGATGGTTTGGTTATTGCCTTAATATCAGCCAAGGATGGAAGAACTTTATTAAGCTCAGGAGGGTCCCCAGTGTGGTTATTTGAAGAAGACTTGACATCGGTGGTAAGCTGGGGTGTATTGACATCACTACCCTCTGATGTGCTAGTTGTATCCTGTGAAGATTTTAATACCTTGGACCCTAATCAGTGCATGAAAATAAATAAATAAAAATAACTAATTACTAATAGATGACTTGTTTACCCAATCACACTTAGGAACTCAGATTAACTCATTTGACAGTGTTAATGAGTTCCTGGTAAAATTAGAATTTAAAAGTGTTGGTTTAGTACTGTTGAGTAGGAGTGTATTATCAAGTTTAAAAACTTGAGGCAAAACACAACTGCAAGTGTTTTGAACGATTTCAAAATCTCTGATATAGATCAATAATATAATTTAGATTTGGGGTTATTTTGGTCTAAAAAATTAGATGTACTGAAGTTTAATAGCCGTGTCTTTGTCAGATATCAAGACACTCATTAAACATTAAATTCTATGGTTTTTATGAATTATTAATGACTTAAATTTGAAATTAAGGAGAAGGTAAAACAGAGTACACAGAGAAAAACCTTGCAGAGTGGGAGAAAAAACCAACAACAGCAGGAATTGAACCCAAATCACAATGCAGGGAGACAAGGTTAGTACTCTTGCCTCATACTACAACTACTACTACTACTACTACTGCTACTGCTACTGCTACTGCTACTGCTACTGCCAATGATGATGATGATGATGATAACGATAAAAATATTAAATATGGTGTGTTAGTAGCAGGCTGCAGATATAGAGTCAATATAGCAAGTCCAAGAGAAAAGAAAAAGCATTCAAATTAACCTGCTTAACTTTGCTACTAGTGCAATAATTTATGAAATAAATTGCGTGTAAATGTTTGAATTAGCAACAGGGGTGGTCATTAATATTATTTTGGGTGGCTGGCAGAAGGGTGCACTGATGATCGTAATTTGTTCTTCAGAATTTCTTCCCCTTTTTAAATGAACAAAACCTCTAACATGAAACAGGATCGAAAACTGGAACATATCTTTCATTGGAAACCAAATTTCACTGTCCTGTTATCAAAGTGCTGTTGCTGTCCTCAATAAAGACTGCCAGCGGCCCTTGAAGAAAATCCATTCGGCTAGAATTTGTATCAAATAAATCTTAACAGTTCATTAAAAACAGCCAAAAAGTTAAGTAAAAAAGTCGACAGTTTCAATGCCAATCATCCATCTTTTTCAAAACTAAAAATCACCAATTGAAAGGTGTTAGGAGACTTAAATAGGCTCATCTCCACCCTCAACAAAGGGAAAGGGGGAGCCTTGACAGCTTTGTGTGATTTGCATATTCAACACATACAGGCTTCCGACATTTTGGGCACTTTTTCATTTAGAAAAAGATGGCTGACACACAACGAAACCGTCAACTTTAATACTGAATTTTTATGGCTATGTTTAAAGAACTGTTATTATTTTGCTAGCAGGCCATTCAGTGTGTTGAGTTGAGGCTTGGCTAAGCTTGAGAGCATAAACTAAATGAGAAGGGAACGATAGAGTTCACATTGTGATCCCGAAGGATTGCTACTAGTTTATTCTCAAGCACTAATGTCAGAGGTGCCGCATCTTTAACACCTGACAGTGTGATGTCTTCAAATGGGTTATTCTCTAGAAAATGTTGCGTGTATTACATTAATGATGTATTCAAGATAGATGTACGTACTCAGGGCTCAAAAAAAATTGGAATTCCCACTTGTCCTTTGAGCAAGCAGCTCTCATATTTTGCTTGCCCGGGGCCACTTCTTGCTCGTCTTTGTTAATGATTTCGTTGGAAGATGACTTGCTTAGACCCTTGCCCATGGGGCAAGTGAATTTGTATAGGTAATAGCATAATTTGTGGTGATACAAACTGTACTTAGCATAAATTCCACAAGTGATATTTCGAAATTGTTATATGTAATTTCACGAGCCGATAGCCGAGTGAGATCTGAGACAATTTTGAAATATTACGAGTGGTATTTACGCCAAATATCACATACAAATCATTCTATTATTGTTTTATGCTACTACCTGCAAAAGGTTTGTAATTTTTACATGTAGCTATTTCAAATTAAGCTGAAATACCACTAGTCTAAGCCAATCAAATTGCAGAAATTTCTCATATAGTAGTACAAAAAAAGTTACTTGCCCCAGACGCGACTTTTTTCGAGCTCTGGTACTTTATACAATGTATTCAGTATATTCTACTGAGGGACGAGTTGGGGGCATACAGCATTCCAATAAAGGGGTGGGGGAATGGGCATTAACAGAATTTCATATTAATTTTATTTTTTATCTTAAAAAGTGAAATTACCTTTGTCATCTGATCCAGTAACACCAGCATCGCTAGCATCTGCTTGTTGCTGAGGCCCGTGGCCAGGTGGAACATGCATTTCTGGAGAAGAATTTGGTAATAACATTGAGCTAGAAAATGGAGGAGGGTTGCTGACTATATTTGTTCTTGAAAGGGGTTGGTTTCCAGAAAATGGAGAAACATTGAGTGCAATTCCATCATAAATTTGTGGGTTATGATAAGAATTTGCATTGAAATTGCCTGGCACTGATTTTCGAGGATCACTGAGACCAGCTTGTTCATGAACTTGTCTTTGCAATGCAGTCAAGTCAGTAACACCAGCATTGCTACCATCTGCTTGTTGCTGAGGCCACAGTGCCACTAAACTTTGTGGTAAAAACCTAGAAGACGGCGATAGTGCTGGATTCTGTAATGACTGTGTCCTGTGAGATGTGTTGTACCCGAGATGATGAATGGTGCAGCCTTGAGAGGGACTTCCCCCACTGTAAACAAACTGATCCCTGGGATTAGAAAAAGGTTCAGATGAATAAGGAACTGTGAAGTTCCCATCCACAGGACATAACTGAGACGCATCCGGCATCCCTGCATAAAATTCAGGAGTTTTTAAACATGAGCCTCTGGGACTCATTGAGCCTGGACCACGAGAAAGTGTGTATGTTACACTACTAGGTGTTGCACATGAAGGTTTGGAAGGGGGAGCTGAAGGAGACAGAGCTGGGGACACATGCATCAGTGAAGAAGACTGATAATGTGATGGCGAAACAACTGCGTGAGGAAATGGGGAACAGGGAGACATTTCTCCTGTTGACCCCACAGGCTGATTAAAACTACGCTGGAATCCATGGTAAGGGTAGCTCACATTTCTATGAGGGCTACCAGGTTGCACCAATCGCGTCGGACTTGGAGTTGAACTGGCTCCGTGAAGTCCTAGGTATTGAAATGAGGCTTGCGAGTAAGGCGAGGTTGGTACATTTTCTACACCATCCAACAACCTGGCCACTTTAATATCATTGCTATGATGTCTTTCCAAGTCATGAGAGGGCAGCCTGCGAACTGTTCTGCGAGGAGTTTCATCGTGATATTGCGACGATTTGCTGTTTCGCCGCATCACTTCAACTCTGCAAGGTGCTTGTTTGACATAATATTCCTCTCCTGTGAAGGAAAGGTCCAAGGCATCCTGTAAGAGGAAATACCATTTTCAGTCAATTTCATACAAGGCAGAGCATACGCGACGTTGCCGCCATTTTGGTTTTTCATAACGAACAACAGCATTGATCGCATCCACAAAATTAATGCACTAAAACTACCCATCCATCCCAAATTTACTCACACTTTTATCCGCTGGCAACCTTTCGATTTTTTCCTGAGGTTTTCGAAATGTATTCCAAAGTTTTTCTCGACAAAAAAGCACAATTTATCTTCACAAGCTCTACAGAATTTCCGCGTCGAAGACGATCAGCACTCGTTAACATCCGTCGAAAGGCCCTCTTATCTTCGGTCGGCAGGGCTCAAAGTTAGCAACTAACTGGTCGCATATGTGACTGGATGTTTGGTTGTGCGCCTAAAAATTCACGTGTAATCGCACCTGTGCGCCATAAAACCCAAAGTACCGTGCAACTAACTTACTTCCGACTATACTTACGAACTCGAACTAGAAAGGCGTTGTATGTTTAATTGGTCTTTTCTCCCAATGGATTCTACGAACTCGAATGTTCCTTTTCGTTTCGATGTTTTACTCCATCCCAGACTCTTCTGTTTTGTAATAAACACTGCTGACACATGCAAATATATGCTACGAACAAGACACATACTTTTTGCGCAAAAGACGATCATGTCGAACATTCAGTTTCAACGTCAATCAAAACAAAAACAGTGCGGATTAAGAGCCTTTTTTTCCAGGTATGAAAGTTTTTTAAGTCATATTCCAGTTACATGTACGCCATTGCACATTTAACAAATTCATTAAAGATTAATTTCATTCTCGTTCGACACACTCATTGTTGCCAGTTTTGAATTGTTTTTCAAGTGTAAGTTTTCTTTAGTCACAACTGTACTGTCAAAAAGAGAAATTAGTATTAAAAATCGCAACGGTATTACTGCGTAACAAATCGGCTGTGTTTTATCAATCACAGGACTGAAGTAAAAGTAACAAACTGAAGATGACAAATAAACGTGGCACTGTTAAGCTTTTTACTTTTTCTTTTGAAATAGATGCTCCCAACATTATAAGCTGTGCTCCTAAAATTTTCAGCTGTGCGCCTACAATTTCGGCAGTGTGCCTAAAAATTTACATCTGGTAGCACAAGTGCTCCCAAACTCAAATTTAAACTTTGAGCCCTGGTCGGATTTCGTAAACGTATGACGTCACGCTGGCCTCGTGGTATATCATGTATATGCTTTCTGTGCTTTTGCTTCGATCGTCCACTCTGATTTGTCTGATGATCTGACGGTTTGTTTCGAGGTCAATTGTAATGCGAACAGCAAAACTTATTCAGATAAAGACATAATTATGCACATTTTAAGGGGTGATTTACTCAGTTTCAACAAAAATGTAATGTTTTGGAGATTTTTCATTATTTTCAATATTTTGAACATTTCCGTGTGATGAAAAAATGGCAAATTTCAAAGCCCAAAATCGTCGACTGGTACCTTAATTTTTGTAAAGAGTCTTAAACCATGTTAAAGAGTGTTATCTCTTCTTTCAAAATCTGTTTTCAAAACTATGGGCAACTTAAAAGAAAATTTTTGAGGCCAAAAACTACAAGTAGTACTTTTTTGAAATTTGGAAATTGGAGCCACAATTGATTAACTAACTACTCGGACTGATAATTTAGTATGAGAAAAGAGAAGGGATTCCCGTCACAAGTTGGTTTAATTATTGGCTTGCATTAAACCTATGAAAAAATGATATTTTTTTAATAGTAAGTACATTTAGTGTGTAGCACTTCTTCATTTTTTTGCAAAGGCACAAGAAGCACGAGAAATGATTAAAAATAGTGAGTTAAACCTGTATGTATCACGCAATGGCCTGTCTCACCATACCAAAATTATCATATCTTGGTGAGCATTCAGAAGTCAGCCAAGCGTGGTCATTGCACGCGTGCTGAACAAGAACGCTGTATCATGACAGACTAGAAACAATAGACAACTCCCAAAGCACAAACTCAGCCAAAACGTTAAAAATCTTCAATGTTTACTCAAATTTGGGCTTATAGAAGATAATGTCACAGTTTTTCAATGACCATGAAATTCAGAGTCCGGGTAGTTAGTTAATCAATTGTGGCCCTGAAAAAATTTGAAGGGAAAAAAACTACGAATTTTTAAGAAAACGCTTTTTTCGTGAGAACGACTCTTAAATGCTGACAAACATCAACAAATAGCTAAAACTATAATTTCTATATGTTTGCTTTGCTCAAAATCGCGCTCATTTACAAGGCCCTAAAGCTTTTTGCTGACTTGCAAGGACCCATCTGTTATAACGATCCCCAAAATAAAGGGATAAGTCTCATAGTTTATAAGATATAATCGTGTAAAGTTTGCTTATCATTTTCACATAAATTATGATCTAAATTTGGAAACCGTTGAATTTCTCGAATTGGGTCTTTGTGATTTTGGTGAAACTCTGTTCAGCGCAAAGCACTAATGCGCACTATGTGTAGCCGAGAGATTTTCACGAAAAAATGCCGGCAACAGCAGATTTTCCACTCAGACCGCAAAGGGGCGTGGCATTATAACCACGTGACATTTACTCCGGGCGCCAAAAATTTTATGTTATATTGTAGATTGGTCTATATGTTATCCATTCTATGTGTTAGACTTACGATAAAAGTAAAGGTGGGGATACCAGAGAGCTTCAAAGTAGGATGGTACCCCCCCAAAAAAACTGGGTCGAGTCACCTTAAGAACTATGTACTCAAGTAGAGACTGTTTTGATTAACTGAACTGCTTTATTTAGGAACTTTGCTTACTAAAGATACTGTTAGAGTTCCTTGTTATTGTTATTTAAGTGAACATTTTCTGTGAAGGATTTGGCATTCATATTTAGTTGCTAAGAAACTCCATTGTTATTTTCCTAAAGGAGGGATGTTGATTGATAGTATATTGTAGCACACATGAAGTATGTTTCAGGTTCCCATGATCCTTCACTTCGAACCATGTGCTCTCGTAATGGTAGTCTGCTACACAGCCGTTTTTAGTGTCGTCACGCAATGCTCCTCCCCACAAACGGCTGCCGAAAACCGAACTACATTCCTTTCCCTTTGTGTTTGTGGTCTAATGAACAAGCCAATCATGCACAAGAAGTTTGACAATACGTGAGCCGCAGGGCGCTAGGAAGCGAGCACCCTTCTCAGTTTTCGACAAATCAATCAATCGTCGCTGAATTTAGACGGGCTCTGTGTTTTCAAGCAACAAAAAGGTTAATTTGCAAAAAAGTTTGTTTTAAGCGGTCAAGAAAGTTCCAAGTGTAAGAAAGGTTTGATAGGCCTAGAAGACTTTTACCAGGATCAGTTGGTTCTTCATTTAACGTGCATATGTACTGATATGTGATGAAGAATTTAAATGTGCCGGATGTGCTCATTGTGTTCCTGTGAATACTAAACTCTCAAGGGTACTGATTCAAAAAGCAATCTTTTAAATTATCGATGAGCGATTTCCCAAACTATACCTGGCAACTTTATGAGCACATCCATGCTGTGCATCGCAATTTGCTCGACTTGCTTGCTGCTGGTGCTTATCTCCTAAATTTTAAATAGGACTCGACTATGACAACACTACTCTAGTTAACTGCTTGTTTTCACGCGACGTTTTGATTATTCTGTCATTCACACATGGGGCACCGATAAAAGCAAAGCTGTGATTGGAGGAGTCACAGTACCGCAAACGTGGCGCGAACACTTTCCAGAAAATGGGAGCTGAATTATAATTGGCTAATCACGGGAAAGGAATGTAGTTCGGTTTTCAGCAGCCGTTAGTGGGGAGGAGCGTTGCGTGA